GAGAGAGAGAGAGATAGGGCACTTCCATCGATCACAATCGAAAGTGTTGTCCGGCAGGTGTGGGCCATATTCAACCAGGTAGTGTATATTTCCATGTTCTAGCGGAAGATTCATTCGATTTTGCTCATCCTATTCGATTTTGCTCATCCTATCGATGGAAGTAGCATGACGCCAGCCGCGAGGTTGGAGACTTATCTGCTCTCTCTCTCTCTCTCTCTCTCTCTCTCTCTCTCTCTCTCTCTCTCTCTCTCTCTCTCTCTCTCTCTCCAGCCGCGAGGTTGGAGACTTATCAGCTCTCTCTCTTTCTCTCAACCTCGCGGCTGGAGAGAGAGAGAGAGAGGGTACTTCCATCGATTGAATGAGCAAAATCGAACGATTTTTTATTTTTGTTCTTTTTTTTTGTGTGTGCGAGAGAGAACGATCAAGAGGAGAGGGGCATAGCATAGCCAGCTGGCAAGGCACTAGCCATCGAGAGGAGAGCAAGTGCTAGCAGAGGCGGGGACGTGGCAGGGCGCCTAGCATCGTGACCGAGAAGAGAGCGGCATAGCAAGCACTGCGAACGTGGCCAGCTAGCAGCACGATCGAGAGGAGAGTGGCATAGCGTAGCCAGCTGGCAGCATGATTGAGAGGAAAGTCGCATAGCGTAGGAAAGTAGTGTATATTTCCATATTCTAGCGGAAGATTCATTCGATTTTGCTCATTCTATCGATAGCCACAGGGTTGGAGACTTACCTGTTGGCCAGTGTGGTGGCATGAGGAAAGGGGGGAAAAGAGAAAGATTATTATGCTGCTTCTCCTGTATGTGAAACCCGGCATGAGATGGAGGGGAAGAAAAGATGTGTCCCGGACGTAGTCGTGACCTCAGATCTTTTGATCTTCTCTAGAGAGAGAGAGAGAGAGAAAGAGAGAGAGAGAGAGAGAGAGTCGCAATGTCAAAACTTCATACATTTCTGTGTTCATTCTCATTCTGATGGAAAATTCACTTCTTCAATCACATACGTTCCCCCTGCCACGGTGTAGCCACGGCGTGTTTACTTGTTATCTTGTAATCAGCAATGAATTTAGAAGCCAGAGGTCGTTTGTGTTGCAATTGTACGCAATGTTTTTTTCGCACGATGTTTTTTGGATTTTCTCCATTGTTGTGTTTTACTTTGCACGTCAAGTATGTTGCCTAGACTTGCCTCCCTACCGTCCTTCCCCGAATAGAACTTATGGTCGTTATCACTGTATCTAGACTGAACGTTGCCCCAAATGCAGCTATACCGCACTTTCTATTCAGGAGAAGACAGTAGGCATGTCCGGGCAGGAGCACTGGTGTACAAAACATTGTATGTGCAGGTCGATCAGCCAACCATATTGGTTCCTCACCAGAAGCAGCGAGCCTAGATCACTTACCGGCAACAGGAATCTGCACGGTTGTGGAGTTGAGTGAAGAGGCGTGCACATTCGTGTGTATTTGGGAGTGGAAGGGCCTGCATATGCATGTGGATATGTCTGCGCGAGGGAAAGAGGGACACGCAGAAAAGCGAACAAGAAGCAGGAGCAAAATAAAGTGTCAAAAGCCATATAGATCACAGCTGCTACAAGCCAACAAAGGAGCGGGTAGAAAAGGATAAGAGCACTGGAGGCAAGAGAGCGTAAAAATCAGCACCATACCTGTACCGTTCATAGTCTGAGATCTTTCTCCGGAGATGAGATGGGAGCCGGCGATGCTTCATCCACCACTCAAGATCTCGTCTACGCACTTGCATGTCATTGCTGCGGCGAAGAAGTGACGATATGAAGTTTTGGATGTTACTGATCAACACACCAAACAAGAGTAAACCAAAACATACAATAAAAATCGCAAAGACACTATCCGACACACTAGTGCTCGGAACGAGGTTGTCCGCAAGAGAAGCAAGGTTTTGCAGCCCCCAAAACAGGGAGTAGATGTACTTTTCGATGTTTTCGATGAAATCGCCTTGACCTTCAACAATCTTCACTGCCCGGTCCACAATGCCATAATCAAAGTCCGGGTTCGAAATGAAGCAAGAGCTATTGAGCCCCCCTTGAGGATGACTGCAGTCCAGATAGCCATAGTCGCACAAGCTCTTATCTTCATATTTGTCACACTCCACCTGCAAGCAGTCGCTTACCCTCTGGATTCCCATCATGTAAAACAAGCACCCAAATACGTGGCCAAACAGGAAGAACACGACTAAATACATCCAAGTCATAAACCAGGAGCTCTCGAAGACAAACCCTGCCACTGTCGGCAAAGTGAACACGAGTGGCAGGAACCGCACCATTCGCGGCAGGTACTGCAGCATCACCACCAGGCTCACTATCTTCTTTGCTTCCCTTAACCTCTCTCCGGGCTTCCATGTTGGAAACACAGCCCACATGATCACCTGTGCAACCGAAGCAGCGCATTGCAGAGCATTGCAGCACATTGCAGGGCACGACAAATCATAGCACAAGGAAAGAGTGTCAAGGTTGCCTGGAGCCAGGCATGTCCATGAGCCACTGGAAACACCGACATCAGTGCAGTCAATATAACCACAGCATGCAAAACACACGTCATCGAAAGAGGGGGAAAACTGCGAAACCCGAGCTGATTGCAGCCGCTCATTCACCAGCATCTTTACATACTTTTATTCAGCGAGCTCACAAAAGCAGTGTGTTAAATCGTGACCACCACCAGCATCTTCACATACTTTTATCCAGCGAGCTCACAAAAGCGCTGTGTTACATCAGGACTACCTTTCAGGCTGGAAGGCGAAGTTGTAAATATAACCTATACCGCATTCTTTGGAGGCTGGCCAGTGGCCAGAACCGGGCGCTACCGGACCAAAAAGGCTGGCTGTGCCAGCCAAAACAAAGCATAAAACGCCACACTGGTGCTTCGGCCAAAGCTCGGAGCACAGTTCTACTCCGCCTCGGCAAAAAGAGGCTCAAAGGTAGCGGTGGCTTAAAAAAAAAAAAAAAAAAAAAAAAAAAAAAGAAACACTGTGTTAGCTTACACATGACGGAACCATAGGAAACGTACTTGGGGCCTAGTTACACTACTTGCCATCCGCTATCATTTTGAACTCATCTGAACAAATATGAAGCCAGATGCATTTGAAATGCTGGCGGATGGCGAGTAGTGCAACTAGGCCATTGTTGGGCCACATTTCATACACATCTGCCATCTGGAGAGTAATGGATTAAGGGCAAGAACAACAAAACCATAATGGTAAGAGGAAACAGAACTACATTTCTACACATTCGAGTGCACAGTTCACCATCAACTGATGCCCATCCCTGCTAGAGACATAGGGTATCGCTGCACCATTTGCCAACCGCCAGCAGTTTGAATGCATAGGACCAAGGCCGGGTCCAGATACATTCAACATGTTGGCATTTGGCAAGCGGTGTGTGTGGTGCAGAAAGGCCCATATGCCCAAAGCCCAGGTACGTTGGACAAGCAACAGGATTCCCATTCAGGACCCCTCAACCAAAGGCATGCTCGGGCCAGAATCCCTTATCCAGAGGGACAGACATGCTGCAGGAATGGGTTAGAGGGTTATTTTGTCAGAGACCACTTTTATGAAACGATGGGCCCAGTTTCCTCATTACACACCACATGAAACTCAATGGTGCGCTGGTCAGGCGCCGTTCCACATCGCCCTAACCTCCTTTTTGAGGGTAAATAGATCACGCATCACTTCAGACTGCACTTGGGATTCAAGTACGCTGCCAGCCATTTCAGCCCTTGGGCTCAAGTCACCTGCCGGAGATGACTTGAAAACTCCTGAAATGGCGTGTGGCAGGTCAGGGAAGGTGCTGTTGCTCCCCTGTGGGTTGAGGTGCTCTCATTCCTGGTTGGTCAGTGGTTCCTTCCCCTTCTTCAAGAGCGATTCCAAGAGTCAGGTGGAACGAAGAAACTGGTTAGCACAAATTCATTGTGTTTCGGGCTCTAGGGCTGCACATGAGTTTCAAGAAAATTTTAGAGTCTGGTAGGCTTAGGGTCTAGGGTACCAGTTTGGTAGTCTGAGTCTAGGGCCTGCAGCGAGGGATATCAGACTGAAATGATGTTTCCCTCCGAAAGGAGGAAGGCACCTTCAGCTTGGTAGGGTGTTGGGCTGGAAACACCGCCCAAAGAGACAGTAGTGCGGTATATCTTGGAGGAGAGTGAAGACGTCCTCATTTCGCACCGGGCAAGTTCGGCGATCGCCTGCTGGAGCGAGCGCTCAGCTTGGAGGAGCGCTGGGGAGGAAGAAGGCGGGCTTGGCTCTCCACCTTGGCTATGGTGGGGAGGACGAAGGAGGAAAACTCCGGGAAAGGAGTATGCCGAGGAAGACGGTGAGAAAGGAGGAGAGCGAGGGGGGTGCTTACCTGGCTATGGTGGCCTGCATCTTCATCTTCTTGGTTGGCGCTGCACCTGGAAGCCCCCAGTTGAGGGTTGGCTTCTTCAAGGAAGACTTTGGGGTAGTCTTAGGCGTGGCAGCCATAGTGAGAGGGACACATTAGCTTTGCGTGGTCCTTTGAACATCGGGCCAGGCTCCATTAGTCCGCCATAGCCACCTACTCTACAAAGGACGAAGAAGGTGTAGTAGATGGCTATGGTGGACCACTTGAGTGGACGGGAAGTAAGAAGAGGATTCGGACATTGGTTCTGGTTCATCCTTTCATTGATATTATTATTATCCATACTCATTATAAAAGCAAGAGTGGGCCCCACATAACGCTTCGAGTGGACCCAAGAGAGATCGCTCAGGGTATTGTACCGCGTGGGCCGCGCAGCGGTCAGGAAGAAGCGTGCATTTTTTTTCTTTTTTTCCTGGAGGGGGGAGGCCACGTTCGGGAAACTTCGACCGGCGGGCCACATGGGCGTTTCAGCGGGAGCGGGCATGAACGTCTTGCGTGCACCTGATTTTGTGATCGGCCCGCGGAGGGTTTTGCTATTGCGTCATCGGGGCGTGTTTTGAAAGAGGCGGGTTTGCCGCGAGAGCATGGGGTGCAACTGAAAGAGGTGGGTTTGCAACGACTGTGAGTGGTGCATTTGCGACCGCTGCAACGGTCGCGACCCATACTGACATCTCAACACGCATCGGTCTTTTTTCCCTTGTTTTCCGTCCTGCAGAGGAAAAATCAATAAACCACAGGATGACAACGAGGGAGGGAGAGAAGTCAAAGACGTATGCGGCGATGACGACTCATAGAGATTATATGCATTGACAAGAGCAGGAGGGATGAGGAGGAAGGAAGATGAGCAGCAGAGTGGGGAGTCCACAATGGAGGCTGAGAGAAAGCACCACACATATGCGTACAGAAACACATTCACATGACAACACGCATCGCTTTTTTTTGCTTTTCCCATCCCGAAGAGGACCAATAGACGAACCACACGACGATGAACAGGGAAGGGAAAGCCAACGATCGAGGGAGAGCAGAATCTAGGAATCGATCAATCATAAGAGGACAAGACGGGAGGGAGAATATCCGTACAGAAACACATTCACATCAGAACAGGCATCACTTTTTTTCAGCTTTTCCCATGCTGGAGAGGGTCAATCGATGAACCACACAACAATGAACAGGAAAGGGACGTCAACGATGGAGGGAGAGCAGAATCGAGGAATCAATCAATCATAGGAGGACGAGATGGGAGCGCAAGCAGTGAGCGACGGGAGGGAGAGGAGTTGACGGCAGAGGAGGAGGAGAAACCGACGAACAGTGGATAACGTGGGAAGAGAAGGAGGAATCCACGAACAGTGGACAATGGGGGAAGAGGAGGAGGAATCAACAAACACGACACACGCACACACACACACACGCACACACACACACACATACACACAACACGTATCACGCTTTTTTCCCTTTTTTCCCATTGACGAACCACAGGAGCATGAACAAAGAGGGAAGTCAACAATTTGATCAATCATAGCAAGACCAGACGGGAGGGAGAGGAAAGGAGGAGAAATCGACAAGTCGATTAATCGCAGCAGGAAGGGGGGGGGAGCTGCCCCCACCTGGTTCCAAGCATGTACGGTCAACATTGACCCTGACCAGGCTGACCGAGTGGATGTATGGTGTGGCGAGACACAGGAGGTGACAATGTGAGTTGTATTGAGGGAGGAGAGCGTGAATGGTGACTTGCACCTGGACTCTAAGCTTGAGGAGGACATTGAGCGGCTACAGGGCTTCTCTCCCAGAGGGGGAACTTATTGGTGGGCGTATGGCTTCAAGTTCTGATTGGTCTTCGACATCAATGTGGGACGCGGCAGTGGACATTGGTTTAGAGTTGCTACGATCGGGTCAGGTAAGTGTCATCTGTAACTGGGGGACGCCCATAGTGCATCTGTAACCGGGCTGTTCAACAAGAAATAAAAAACAGAATCGATAAAGGAAAAAGGGGAATACCAAACCACATCTGTTTTTGTGCTATGACGATTTCCGTGGAATTACAAGAACCTACCAATAGCCAAATTAATACAGTAATTATAATAAGACCAATAGTTTCATGCTCGGCCGGGCCTGCACGGCCGGGCACCCGGGCGTGACGCCCGGGGTACCCGGGCAAGGATATAAGAAAAAAAAAAGTGATAAAAAAGAGAGTAATAGCAAGCAATAAAGATTTTTCACGATCCATTGGTTTATAGGAAATCCATGTTTTAGGTGTTTCAAAATACACGACTTTCACAAAACGTATATAATAAAAGCAACTGCGCAACGCATGTATCAACACATTCGTCAATCACGTGCCTTCCAATATATATACTGTCACACTGTGAATCAGAGCGCGAAGGCGAGAAAAAGCAAAACAGGGAAAGGAAAAGAAGTAAGGAAGGAAAGCCCCATCTGTTCATCACCTCTTACGTACAAGGCCAGCCACGTGGACGACAGGTTGAGCGCTGGCTGCTCTCATCCCCGTGTGTCACAAGGACACACTTGCACGCAGCCAAAAGGCAAAAAGGTAAAGAAAAGGAGGAGGAAACCAGACCTCACAGAGGCAAGAGAAAGAGAAAGGGATCCAATCAAAGAAGAGACAAGGGAAGAAAGCAAATGACACATCCCACAGATAAACCATGCCACTGTCACTACCAGGTTCAACATATTCTTTTATTTTTCTCTCTTTCTTTTTTTTGTTTTCTTTTTCTTTTCTTCAGAAATTTGTACTTTCTTTCTTTCTTTCTTTTTTTCTTTTTGTTTCAATTTTTTCTTTCTTCTTTCTTCAACTCCACATCTGTTGCTCCTGATCGCTTGATTCTATTGATCAGTCAGGAAGCGGAGCCCCCACCCCGGCAGATAGGACAGGCACGCTGAGGATGACGTGGATGTTCACAAGGATACCCAAGGAGAGCTACTTCGGCACAGCATTCAGCAGGACGGCTAGCACGGACCATCCCATCAAAACAGTCCT